AATGTACGGATTGTACGGATTTTTTTTAAAAAAATTGTACGGATTGTACGGATTGTTTTTCGAAAATTGTACGGATTGTACGGATTTCTTCTGAAAATGTACGGATTTTTGTACGGATGGGTTCAAAAAAGTTTTGGCCACCCTGAGATTATCATAAATATCCTTAGAGAGATTATCAAAAATGTCCTTAGAGAGATTATCAAAAATGTTCTTAAGGAGATTATCAAAAATGTCCTTAAGGAGATAAAATGTTCTTAGAGAGCTTATCAAAAATGTCCGTAGGGAGATTATCAAAAATGTCCTTGGGGAGATTATCAAAATGTTCTCAGAGAGCTTATCAAAAATGTCCTTAGAGAGATTATCAAAAATGTCCTTAGTGAGATTATCAAAAATGTTCTTAGAGAGATTATCAAAAATGTCCTTAAGGAGATTATCAAAAATTTCTTAGAGAGATTATCAAAAATGTCCTTAGGGAGATTATTAAAAATGTTCTTAGAGAGCTTATCAAAAATGTGCTTAGAGAGATTATCAAAAATGTCTTTAGGGAGATTATCAAAAATGTCCTTAGAGAGCTTATCAAAAATGTTCTTAGAGATTATCAAAAATGTTCTTAGAGAGCTTATCAAAAATGTCCTTAGAGAGATTATCAAAAATGTTCTTAAAGAGATTATCAAAAATATTCTTGGAGAGCTTATCAAAAATGTTCTTAGAGAGACTATCAAATGTTCTTAGAGAGCTTATAAAAAATGTTCGTAGAGAGCCTATCTAAAATGTGCTTAGAGAGATTATCAAAAATGTCCTTAGGGAGATTATCGAAAATGTCCTAAAGGAAATGATCAAAAATGTTCTTAGAGATTATCAAAAATGTTCTTAAAGAGATTATCATAAATGTTCTTAGAGAGATTGTCAAAAATGTTGCAAAAACAAAATAAGTGGAAAAAGTAAGAAAAATAAATCAAATTCCTTTTTTTGTTAAAAAAAATCAGTAAATCTTAAATAAATGTTCAGAACCTGGACCAGGATCCGGATTGGGATCAAGTTGAACCATCTTTTCTATTGCGAATCCAGGATCCGGATCCGCGCTGAAATGGAATGATCCTAAGCACAGTTTTGATCATCGTGCATTATCATTCATCATTAATACTTGAAGAAATCAGTTTGTCTGAATAACTGCATAATGCATATTGTAGAAGTTTGTCATCTTCCCAAAGTATGTTGACAATTTTGCCAGTTAAAATTTGAATTTAAATTCAAATTTCTTCAATTTTTAAGAACTTTTTGACTTTTCAAATAATTTTTCTTTAGGATGTTGAGAGCGGGGATGATGATACAGCTGATGAGGACACAGACTAATTATTTCGCAGATTTTCTTATTATTAAATCTCGAATATGTTTTATCAACAGTGGGTTAACTATTTTTATACTTGAGTAATTGCCTTAACAGACCATTTTTATGTAAATTGTAATTTTATACCGAAATACATATTTTTTAATGGATTTTTAAAAAGTAGTCTGAATAGAAAATTAGGTAAACTTAAAGATTGTACAACTGTTAATTAATGTTTTAGACTTATTTCTTTATTTCGTATCACAATAGGACCTTTTTTTCCCCCAATAATATTAAAGATATCGTATGTTTTTGTTGAAAGAAAGTGTTCAAATTCTTTCTGTAGAAGTAATCTTCAAGTACTTACATTGTGAAATTGTCAAAAAATCTTTAGAAGAAAAGTAAGGACATATTATTCATTCTGCATCAGACCAAGGCTGAAAGTGTACCGGTGTCATGTAGAGACAGGAGAGTCGAACCCCTACCACATATAACACAAAATTTAGACATTAAAATCAATGTTTCGATGAGTCGATAATTTTTATGTTTTTTAATTGAGATATAAGGTTTGATACAAAATTATGAATAAAGTCTCGGAAGAAATAATGATTGTTTGAAAATTTGAAAGAATGATGACATTTGCGAGGAAATATTATTTTGCTTTCCTTCTGAAATCGTACAACTTGGAACTAGATCATAAATGTTTGAAATTGTTAAATGTCTGCCACCGCTGAAATAGTTTAAGGATTAATATGCAGACGTAATTCAAGTGACACCTATTCAAGCTCTCGTAGCCAATTTCTAAGACGTTCAACGATAGTCATAGTTGAAATGGTTTAGCTGGATTAATGTGCAGACGTAATTCAAGTGACATCCATTTAAGCTCTCGTAGCCAATTTCTTAGACGCTCAACCATAGCATGAATAAGAAATTGGCCATCACTATCTCGGAGGATTAATGAAGAAGGTCTCATCCAGGCCAGTAGCTAGGAATTTAAAAGAGGGGGGGGGCACAAAAGTTAAATATAGTACAGATGTAAATTTTTTTAACCTGAAACTTAAAAAGGGTCAAATTAATTGAGGAATGAAGAATAAAAAAAATAGAATTTAACTTATCAGACATTATAGTTATTTAAGATAGATATTTTGCCTCTTTTCTTTCCCTGAAGAGCTATTGAGAAGCTATTCGCATCAAAAGAAAAGGAGGTATGAGATGTAGAAATTTGAGTATAATTATAAATAAATGTACTACTGGAAATTATAACCAACACTTATTTATGATACAGGGAAAGTAAAGGATATAAATTCGAAAAAAAACCCCTGCAAGCTTGGCATGGGACGTCGGTTTGCGGAGGGAGGGATAGATACAACTCCAATTATTGAGGGTTAGGTTAGGCTAAGACAATTTCTGGGCCGAGGGCTGCGGCTAGGATTGACTAGGGGGCCGAGCGCTGCGGCTAGGGGGCCGAGCGCCGCGGCTAGGACGGGCTAGGTGGCCGGCGCTGCGGCAACATAATCAATTTAGGAATTTTATCTATCCCCCCCTCCGCAAACGTACGTACCATGCCTGCAAGCTTAAGGATGAGTGTAAATAGGGATGGGAAATTGCCAGATTTTAAAATGTTTTAAACAATATGAGAAGGTTCCAAGATTTTAAAACTTTATTCTATAAAAGTCAGCTTTTATCAAATATGCAAATGTGTTTCCGTTTAGGAAAAAACTGTATTTTAAAAGATGCACACATTTCGTTATAGGGTTGATGCACTGCAGTTAAGTAGCCGCAGCGCTCCGCCCAGAAATTGTCTTAACCTAACCTAATCCCACATATCAGCTATTACTTTATCCATTTGATAACTGTGGCCGCAGTGCTCGGCCTCCCTTGCCGCAGCCCTCGGCCCGTAATTAGTCTTAACCTATCTTAACCCCACTATCGGCTATTAACAAATTGAGAAATGTGGCCGCACCGCTCGGCCCCTAGTCTTTCCTCACGGCAGCGCTCGGCCCAGAAATCCTAACCTAACCAGATCAGCTATCGCTTTGTCAACTTGATAAAAGTGTTCATCCGACCTACAACACTGTGTATCCTACATACAATATGTTTGCATCCGACCTACAAAAGTTGTGCATCCGACCTACAATTGACTAATTTGAATACATTTGGGAATCCTGTCTTCATTTTTAAGGAATCTGAATAAAATTTTGCAAATCACATGAAAAGTGTGTGTGGTGTGTGTGGGGGGGGGGGCATTTTATCAGTCAATAAATCTATGAATCCAGAAAATGTGGGAAAATATGATAAAATAGGGTAAAAAGGGATCTGAAAAACCTTAAACTTCGTTCTGCTGTCAGCATTGAGATTCTTGTGGGGGAGGTGGGAATATTCCCCCCCCCCTTTATTTAGTTTTACCAAAATACTATCCAATTGAGGTCTGTGTGCAAAAGATTTTTGAATTTTCGATGAAAAATAAATTTATGAATCCAAAATATGATAAAATATGAAAAAATAGGGGGAAAAGGATCTGAAAAACCTTTATAAACTTCGTTCTGATGTTAGTAAGGAGATTCTTGACTAACAATTGTAGGTGTTTAAGTATTTGAATCAGACTGTTCGATAAAAAGCTTTAAAAAACATACAAAAATGAGTATAAAGGGGAAAAATATTTTTTATTTTTCTTAAAAAAAACTCAAATGATGCCTATTTGCAAAATTTCATTCAGATTCTTTAAAACTGCAAAGACCGGATTCCTAAATGTATTCAAATTGCTCAGACAAACCCATTCCTTAGGAAGAAAAAATACAGTGAGAACCAGAAAACTCTGGAATAGTGAGACGATACTACTTTTGACATAAAATAGTCCAAGAACATTAAACACAGCAATAGCGAATACGGACCCAATTAAATTGAAAAGTGATTTAATGAGATGCTATAGTAGAACTATTTTCTCAGGAACAACTCAAGTATTGCTATAATGTTGTCTTCCTATTTCACAGTTTTCTAGTTCTCACTGTATCATATAGAATCAACTATAAACTCGTAAAAATCCTTGAATCAAATTCAAGCCTGTTAGTATACAGTAAAGAACGTAGGAAAATAATAATTGTCTTAAAACATTTTTTTAGAAAGTGAATATTTGCAAATTATCTTTTTTCCATCTTATAATCTGAGTTCTTTTCCCTTATGTCCATTTGACAGCCCAAATTCTTATTTTGAATAATCTTTTTTGTTTGTTTATTTTCTTNTAGAACTGACGAGGGTCAACCCAGACCGAAATATATTTTCAATAAATGTGTAACTAACATCTACTTTTTTACTCTACAGAGGTTTGGTCCATCACCATCACTGAATTTTAAATGTAGGAAAATAAGTTATTATGTTTGCTATTTATAAATCTACAATTTATTTACATTACATACAATTTTAGTTTCATAATAAATATTGGCAAACTTTTGTTATTTTTTAACATTATCAAGATATCCAACTGAATTTTAGTTGCAGCATTAATTTTTAATTCGACAATTTTGTACACAACAACAATAGTGCATTTATGGCATCAATTCAATAAGATTGAGAAATAAATTAAATGAATCGTTTACGATTTATAACCAGAGAGGGGAGGTGGGGTCAGGGGCGTACACACACAGCGATATGTTCAAAAGAACTTACTTTTAACTTGTTTTTTTTTTCTGGGGAGGGGTAGTTACAATTGTTTTCTTGGGAAGGGTTGAAGGGGGTCAATTACTTTTACTAGGATATAGAAATTAAGAGAGAGAAAAAGAAGAGGGGGGGAGAGGTGTTTTATGTATTAACTACTTCACTTTTTTGCATATCTACATAAAAAGTGCCCGATAACAAAAATATGAAAGAAATATTACAGAAATATTAAAGAAATACAAAAACAAATTACTTTATTTACAAAAGCAGTACCGATTTAGAAAAACGAATGCAACCGTTAAGATAAAAGAAAACCGAAAAAAAGAAATTATTTAAACGATTTTGTTGAAGATGAAAATAGAGATGTATCCCCACTATAACATTCTTAAAAATTCACAGAATTCAGTTTTTAATTTATTCAATTAAACATGGGTTGACTTTCTCTGCTCAGTAAGCCAAATTTTGACTTTTTTTTATAAAATATTCCACTACCCTTACTTTCATGCATTCCCTTTTGCTTCAATGTAAATAGGAAAAAAGGGGAAATGATTAAGATGTGTCCTTAAATTGGCAAAGTACGTTTAAAAACTTGGATTGGCAAAACTGTGAGAAGTTTGGTCTATAAAATATTCATACATTCATATATACCATGGTTTAGTGAGAGTAGAAGAACGAAGGATAAGGATAAACAACTTGCTCTTGTACTACATGTTTCAGCTCTAGTCCATGTTTCATCTCTTTGTGTTCTTTCAATTCCGCGGCCTGTCCAACAGAAAATTCACATTTATCACATTGATAAAGAATCCTTTGATGTCGGGCCTCTTTATGCGCTTTCAGGGCCGACATTTGGGTGGCGGAATATCTGCATTGATCGCAAGGATATCGAAAAGCTTCGTGTTTGCTTTGAGTGTGCTTCTTTAGGTTTCCCTGTGTTGTGGCTCTATATTCACATAAGTGACATGGATACCTGATTCCTTCATGCTTGATATTCTTGTGTGTTTTCAATGATGACATCTGTGTGGCCGAGTACTCGCATTGATCACAAGGATATCTAATGTTCTCATGTTTGCTTGCTTTATGATTCTTCAGATTACCAACTGTTGTTGCTGAATATTCACATAGGTCACAGGAGTACCGAACACCTTCAGTCCATTGCCTATAGAATTAAATTTATTAGCGAAAACTTACATTGGACTTCAAATAATACCCCAAAATAATGTACATTAAAATGATAATGGTACCCGCTCATCCGACCTTAAGAAAACTGACCTAAGTATTTTCTGACTTAAATTCTGTTAGATAGGTTAGGACAGGTTAAGCTGAATAGGTGAAGTTGGATGTTAGATGTAGTTGTAATTGGGGTTAATTTTAAATCTTTAAAAACTGATTAATTATTTTAAGTTCAGATACCCGTCAGTTTCCATACTATCGTCACAATGGGGTAACATTTTATCAAATCCAGGCTAACCCATACAAGTCAATGTCATGGACTTTTTATTTTGAAAATGTTGCTGCACACTGACACAGGTAGCATTTTATGAGAAAGCATTGATTTATTTCAGACTCCTGTGACCTCTGGGACTATAGTATCCAATAGGATCACAAATCATAAGCCATCTTACTGCAATAAGACAGGGTGAATATTTTCTTGTAAAATCATTCTACCCCCTGGGACGGAGGTATTTCTTAAAAATATTCACCCCTGCAAGATGTACCTGAGAGCCCGAGTATTTTCAGTAAAATACTATTCAGAAAACCGGATTTATAGTCTTATTTCGCGACTATTTTTTGGGCCGGTTAATAAAATAGACCGGCCATTTTGTGAGAAAAAAATTTCGCATAAAAAATCTCCGAATAAATCTAATTCCAATAAGTTTCTATGCGTTTTAAGTAATCCTTTACAAAACAAAATGCAAAAGTCGCGATTCCGAAAAAAAAACTTTATGGCAGATTTAAAAGAACTTGATTAGCTCTAAAGATTTTTAGCTAATGGCTCTGACAACGTTTTAGTGAATTAAAATTATTTACTCCTTAATCCATTTAAGCAAAGATAAAAACGACGTATAAGGAGATTTAGACAAAAACACGATGGAAATGTTCCAAAAAAATTTCAATTATTTTGGCCCTCAGGAACACATTTGAGTGGAAAGACGAACTTAGTTCCGTTCCTTATTGCAAAAATTGGGATATTATGATTTTTATTAAAATAAACGAACAATCTTTTCCGTTAAACAAAAACATAAATGTACGATTTTGATCCAAAGTTATGAATAAATAATAAAAAACCCCTTCCAGCTAAATCTTGTAATTAAATTGAAAAAAAACAAAATGAAAAATCCATGACATTAAATAATTAATTAATTAATAATTAAATAATAAAAAATTAACAACAGTTGCAAAACTGAAACTCAATTTAATTTTCATGAATTAACTAAACAGCATTATCAACGTTTAACTTCATTATATACAATTTATAACTATATCCATATATTTACAACAGACACAACATAATTTGCCCAGGTAGCCAATACATTTTTGTTTGCAAGAGAGAACTTAGAATCAGAAAATCCCCCCCAACACACAAAAATTAAAAAACCGAAAAAAGCAGAATTTTTTTAATAATAATAATTTTAATAATTTAAAATGATTTACTAATTGAGGGGAAATCAATCGAAATAAAAAATCGCGCTAAAAAATGTTCATTCCAAAAAAAGGTTATTTTACTCAATAAAGTAAGAATAATTTGAAAAAATCTTGACGGCAAAATTTCGTCTGAGGAAAGCCGAAAAAAACCAAAAAATTGTCCAATTCAACATAAGACTAAATGCTCTGTTGAGAGAGAATAAACTGATAAAGAATCGATAATGCTGGGCATATAAAATTATACATTCTTAAAAATGTCATAACAGATGGAACAAAAATGGCACTTTTGTTTAAAAGACACAAAGGTTGTTTAATGGGAGTAAAAGAAAGTTGGACAAGGGTATAAAGTTAGTCCGTGCTTAATCTCTTTGTGTTCTTTCAATTCTGCGGCCTGCTCAGCAGAAAATTCACATTTATCACATTGATACAAAATCCGTTGATGCCGCGTTTCTATATGCGCTTTCAAAGCTGATATTTGGGTGGCGGAATATCTGCATTGATCGCAGGGATACCTGATAGCGTCGTGTTTGCTTTGAGTGTGCTTCTTCAGGTTTCCCTGTGTTGTGGCTCTATATTCACATAAGTGACATGGATACCTGATTCCTTCATGCTTGATATTCTTGTGTGTTTTCAATGATGACATCTGTGTGGCTGAGTAGTCGCATTGATCACAAGGATATCTAATGTTCTCATGTTTACTTGCTTTATGATTCTTCAGATTACCAACTGTTGTTGCTGAATATTCGCAGAGATCGCAGGAGTACCGAACACCGTCATTCCATCGCCTACAATAAAGAACGTTAACTCTACATTATCTTCACTACAGAGCCCAAAATTTAAAAGAGTATCGTGGAACGAAACTCCCGAGTTTCATTTCTGAGCCCAAAACTTAAGACAGGGTATCGTTATGAAAACCGCTTTGGAACCCGGGTTTCATGAATGGGGTTATGACAGTTTTGTGTATATCAATATTTTTGTTATAAAATAATATGTTATTTAGTTTCTTCATATTCTCCATTTTTTCCGAATCTCTTAAATCCAAATCTACACAAATATTAACACCCCAAAAAGAAAACTCGGAAGTTTCGTTCAACGATACTCTTTTAAATTTCGGGCTCTGAGGTCTTAATATTTGTGTATATTTTGAGATTCGAAAAAAATGGAGAATATAAAGAAACTAAAAAAAGTAATATTTCATTACAAAAATACTGATATTCAATTATCCATAATACTGCCTAACCCGGACCCAATTCTTGAAACCTGGGGTTCAAAACTGGTTTTCGCAATGACACCCTGTCTTAAGTTCTGGGCTCAGGGGGTAAAGTTTGAGTACATATTTGGTGTTAGGTATTTTACCAAAAGCATTACCCAAGTGACAACTCAACTTTCCAAATGTGCAATTTCCCAACTTTCCAAAGGTTAGGTTAGGCGATCTAAGGCACCACAGGCTACAATGGGAGGGGTGCTGCTGCTAGGACAGACATGGATAGTTTCCGCTTGAGAAATTGCACTTTGGGAAGATTCCACTTGGGAAAATACCATTGGGAAGTTGCCGCTTAGGAAAATTACTTTGGGAAAGTACCTATCACATACAGCCAACTTATTTATTAACATTATATTGATTAATCGCCTAGTGCTTGAGAATTTATAGAATTACTCTCTAGTCTAAGGGAATACTAGCTAAAGTGACCGGTGTTGCCCTCTTGAGTTAAAAAAATCCAATTTTTAACAATTTTTTTTTTGCCTATGTACCAATGGGTGTCCTAAAATTTTTTAGCCAATTTGGTTTATCCATTTGGCCAGCTATAGCCAACAAATATATATGTATGAGCGAAGAGCGTTGCCCGTGGAAAAAAAATAATTATAAATTTTAAAAGAAACTTTCTTTCGACTTAAAAAAATGTCAGCCCATTCGGTCCAGCCGTTTGGCCAGCTATGGTTAACATATAAACAAATATATATAAGCGAAGAGCTTTATATATATATATAGATTAATGTATGTGCGTACAATTTATAACACATATATTCCTTATAAAATATATAAGGGAGAAGGAATCGCCCATAACATATGATTATTCATGCTTTACAGACGGTACTCCATTTGAATAAGAAATATTTGTCTGATGTACACAAATACCGCGTACAAATATTCAGAAAAGTGGTCAATTTCTTAGATTTATGTTACCATAGGTGCAACCATAGTGCGAATATTGTTCTACCAATGGTATTACATCTAATAATATTGCAATTTCAGGTTATACCGTTATAGTATAAATTCAACAATGAAATAAGTAGGCCGAATAACGCCAAACGAACACATTTTTGGAATACACAAATATGGTATTGTGAAAAATAACATTTAAAAACTATCTTTAAAAACGATCTTTAAAAACGATCTTTAAAAACTCTTTTTCAAATGGAGTACCATCTGCAATGACTGCAATGTATGTATAATCCAGGGGGCGGAAAGGTCATGTGTGTGTGTGTAAAGTTTACCGAACCGAAGGTTTGTACTGTAGATATATACAGCACATACGAATCTCGGTATTTGTACAGTCTAGGAGAGTAAATTTGTTTATTGTTAATTTTTTTACTTAAAAATAAGCTTAATATACATGTAGTATATTATTTATATATTTAAGTCAACAATATAAGCCAAATTTTCATGCAAAGAATATAATTTGATTAAAGTTTACAATAAACTAGTCGTTATTCAAGCTTAATTATAATTGACAACATTGTTCTGCAACTTCCTTGACTGTAGTCATGTTGTGTGTCTGTACCAAAAGAGTGTGTGTAAAGTTTACCGAACTCGTCTGCAAAGCAGTGCGACTGGCTTTCTCTTGCCATTGCCAGACCAGCGCCATTTCCTTTCCCTTTATTCCTATTCCCTGGTATAATCATATGGTAGGGAGGGTCGGGTCGATTTCTTCTCCCTTATATTCCATACAGACTCCTTGATATCCTCTTTTATTTATTATCAGCACCTCTTCAAAGCGACTGTAGACATAATTTCAATGACCCTCTATTTAAAAAAGGTTGCACGTCTGATTCACAATGATACCCTTTAATCCTTTGACTAAACAAATATGATTAAGATATCTAAATATTAAAAATTCAATATCTAAAAAAATTATAATTCTTAATTGTGGATCGCTGTAAAAGTAACTTGGGAACTTATGCTACAGAGATAAAAACGGAAATTTTCAGAGTTAAGCTGCTTTGGAATAGATAAGGAATAAAAGGATACCTTTGACTAACGGACATGACACTTTTTTTTTAAATGGAGGGTCACTTAGAATTGAGTCTTCGTTCCCTTCAAGTTTAATCGATTTTTTGGATCTAATAAGTGTAAAATGGTTTAATGGCTATAACTCTAGATTCTTATTTTCAGATATTAGCTGAAAAAGGGTCATTCATTAGTATTTCCACGATTTTAAGCTTAACCAAGCGGCATATTTTGATTAAAATGCAGCATCTTCAAACTTATCATGCGATTTTCACCCGGTACCAGTACAAAAACAAACAAACAAACAAACAAACAAACAAACAAACAAACAAAAAAACAGACAAACAGACAAACGAACAAACAGAGAATACAACTTTATTTATATAGTTGTTGTATTGGTCCGAGGTTTGTACCAGTCTGATGTTTGTAAGTCCGACGTTTATAAGTCCGACCTTTGTACCGTACGACGTTTGTGGGTTCGACGTTTGTACTAGTATCCTAAATTTTCCAATTTTGATCAGATTTTGGGTCAGATAGATTGAGATGTTTAGTCGATTTGTTGAACAGTTGGACAAAAACAGACAAAAAGACAAACAGAAAAGCAAAACCATTTAATAGAAATTAAAGGCGATTATTAACGACTATAAAAGCATAGTATGTAAAAAAAAGGAAGGTTTGAGCTTTCTAGAGAAAATATATACCCCTGATCAAACCGTGGAAGAAAGAACATAAAAAAATTACAATTTTAATTCTATTTTAATCTACATAAGTTTTATAATACAGTTGGCGAGTAATTGTACAAAGTTAAAAATAACTGTTACATTTGTTTACAAACAATTTTACAAAGTCAGCTGCAATTTACAATTTGAATCAGGGGTATATATTTACCATTAGATCAGACCTACGCCCCAACCCATTCAAACCGGCTAATTCACAAAAGAAAAAAAACTTTAATTTCCAATCAATAAAAGATATGAACTATTTCAGTACTGGACCGGAGCGAAGGAAGAATTTAAGCCAAATATAATCCCCTGAAAATCTTGGAAAATATAGAGATCACAAATCTCCACGAATCTAGGGCTTGGTCAAATTCCGACTTATATATAAAATATAAAATCAAGTTTAACGGATTTATAGATCCAAGAACAATCTTGCCGAATCTGTGTAAATAATCGAGAAAAGAAGGAAAATAGTTTTAAGTCAATTATGAATTAAGAATATTAAATACTGACCCTTTCTGTATAGGCTTGGAGTCGATATCCCCGTAATATGGACTGTACACAGAGTCAGCAAGTTTGGTCCTAGGAAAGCGAAAAATAATAATATTTCTTATTTTCATAAAAAGTTTCAAAATATCTAAAACTTGAATAAGTGACATGAAAAATATGGGCGAACAAGACCGGCAAGAACGGAGTTAAAAAGAAAAATGTTTACTTCAATATCAGAGGTTAAATGCCAGGTGACATAAAGTGGGAAAATGAATTATTTTCTTGTCTATCTAGAAGATTAAAAACAAATCTCTAGCTAGAGTAGAAGAAAGAAGGACAGGGATAAATAACTTGTCCGTGTTTAGTCTCTTTGTGTTCTTTTAATTCAGCAGCCTGGCCGGCGGAAAATTCACATTTATCACATTGATACAAAATCCGTTGATGTCTGAGCTGTATATGCGCTTTCAATGCTGACATTTGCGTGGCGGAATATCTGCATTGATTGCAGGGATACCTGATAGCGTCGTGTTTGCTTTGAGTGTGCTTCTTCAGGTTTCCCTGTGTTGTGGCTCTATATTCACATAAGTGACATGGATACCTGATTCCTTCATGCTTGATATTCTTGTGTGTTTTCAGTGATGACATCTGTGTGGCCGAGTACTCGCACTGGTTGCAGGGATATCTAATGTTTTCATGTTTACTCCCTCTGTGTTTCTTCAGATTTCCGACCGTTGTTGCTGAATATTCGCACTGGTCACAAGAGTAACGAATGCCTTCGTGTCTGCTTTCCTTGTGTGTTTTTAAGGATGATATTTGGGTTGCAGCATATTCGCAAAGGTCGCAAGGATATTTCTTCCTTGCAGGTGGTTTAGGTTCTTTGTAGGGGTGCATCATATTCACTCCGATACCTTCGATCTGCCGCATGTTCTCGGCACTGGCTGTACCTTAACAATATATATTGTATTAAAAAATATTAAAAAATGCCAAACTAGACAATTTTAGGCAAGTGCCGGTTCTAGCACTTTTCCACCTAGCTTGTTCTAGCCCCAACCTCTAGCTTGTTCTAGCCGCATCCTTGGACGGTCCCTTTAGGCTGTCCTAGCCGTAACCCCTATCCCCATCTAGCCCTAACTCCTAGCCTGTTCTAGCCCCAACCCCTAATCTGGTCTAGCCCCAACCCCTAACCTGTTCTAGCCATATTCCCTGTCCTCCACCCTTTGTCTGATCTATCCGTATCCCCTCAGCAACCCCTCCCTTGCCTGTTTAGGTGCAGCGCTTGGCACCCTGAAATTGTCTTAACCTAGTCTAACTCTGAAGTAACGGGGTCTGTCCTAATGAACGATTTTTGGACCCCCCAGGCTCCCCCCTCCTTTCAATTTTGTACATGACGAAATTAGTAAATTAGTATTTATTTATTATTATTTAGGGTTAGGTTAAAGCTTAAAAACTAGGGGCCTGTCCTATTATACGAGTTTTGGACCCCTCCGTACGTTTTTTGTAGATATTTGTATATTTTAAGAATAATTCGATCAGAATATAATCCTTACCCAGCACAGTTGGTTGAAATCTCGGGTCAATTTTAAATATTTATAAAATCTGAAAAATAATTTTGATTAATCTAAATTATATCTATCTGATAAAACTTTAAAAATGACGAAATAGCGAGTAAAAAAGATGAAATATTGAATTGTTTGGTTTATTGATTAGGTCGGGGTTAATTTAGGATTCAGCTGTATGTGTGTGTGTGTGTGGTGTTAGGCTAGGCCGCCCAGCCGTACAAGTGTACTTTCTCTCTCTCTTTAGCAGAGTTGTGTGTATACAATAACCTCAACCTAGCTACCTGGCGTCAATGTTTGGTGCTTTATCAACGGAACCAAGCGTCAATCCGTTGTTATATCTATGGCCACAGAACTAATTTTTAATGGCAAGGAAAATACACCATAGAAATTAAGATGAGTTTGTGAATCCAAGACTAGGCGACTTTATCTGAACTTTCATAGATATACGGTGGGTAGGCAAATATATCAACCCAATGAAGACGACTTTCGAATCCAATTTTGCTTTTCATCAAGCTGTTCATTCCGCATGATGCTATATCTTATTCACTAATGTCCGATTGAAATAACATGCATACATTTGCATTACTGTCAGCTGATCAGAAACAGGTTTGCAGTACGATTGTACTTCTTGTACTTAAGTGCAAATGAACACACTGATTCACTGTTCAATTGGACTAAAATTTTATTTTTCCGCATAGAATAGTTAGTACAAATTATTTATATGGATTGATCTGGAATACTAAATATTTGTTACGAACCAATTTTTTTTTCTTTACATGCAATTGAACCTAGTGTAAATGAATATTTCTAACAAAAAATTTGTTCAAACTGACTACCCTGCAAACATTTAGTTACCAACAAACATATCATGGCGAACATAAAAGTTTAGAATTATTTACCCGCCAACAATTGATCATTCGCAAATGAACCTTTCAAACAAAAAATTTGTTCAAACAGACTTATGTTTTTTTCTTAAACAATTATAATTTATGGGCAAGGTGAAATTTTTTATTTTAGTTGGTTTGAACATTTTTTGTTCTTTACTAATTGGGATAAATGTGCAAAATGGTGAAAGTTTAGATTTTAGATTGATTTTTTTTTAATCATTTACACTAATATGCTAATTTGTACTAACTTCGTTTTTACTCACACTTTTAGTTTTAGTACAATTGAACATTTTTTGTTCATTCCTACTGAAATATGTTCAATGGAGCTAATAAATACAAGTTTTGTTTGATTCACTCTCATTAGAATTATCGTTTGACATCAAATTATAATTAATAAATTTATCTGTAGAAAGAAAAAACCAAATCTCTCTCGTCTTAATTATTAAATTCGCATTTTTCTCCAATTAAAGCCTAACCTAACCCGCCCTTATTTAACAGCCTCTTATTTATGTTTTCACCTTTGTTCTATATTTCGAGAAACCATGAAACTTAAGCTTTTTAACAATTTTAATTTTGAGTAACAACTTTCATTTGTAAAAAAAAGATTTATTTTTAGCATATATAATATGCAACAATATGTTAAACAAAAAATTTTAAATTTAAGATCACCATTCACCAATATATTATTTTCATAATTATTATTATTATAATATATAATAATAATAAGATTCTGCATAAATTAGACTGCCTGGTTGCTACAAAATGCAAAAAAATGCTGGCTGACGTAAAAATGTTCATTTCCGATTTAAAACTGTTTAGTCATCACAATTAATCCTGGAATACAAGGGCCAGGTTCCAGGACGGAGAACCCGGAGAGACGGAGAAATCGGAGCAAAAACTCATTCTTCTCCAGAACCCCTAGGAGTACACTAGACCTTGGATCTCCACCTTGAGCTTCAGGGGGATCCTCTGACCCAATACAGTCAAAGATTGGATCAAAAATATCCGAGTCCAAGTATTTTGTCTCGTCTGGGAGAAATATTTTGATGAACTTGGAGTATTTAGAGCCATTGGAAATTTGGAGAATTTTTGTGAGAACGGCATTTTGCTCTCCATTGTAATTATCTAACATCCAAACACTAAAGTATAAAGAAAATAATTAAAATATTGTCAGCAAAAAGTAAATAATTAAAGGAGAAATTTGAATACTAAAATTGATTTGTGCTTAATTCAATATTCATTTCTCTAAGTTCTAAGTTAATAATAGGGTTTTTTTTAAGGAAGCATTAGATAAATAAAGAATATAATACCAACTTTTTTCTTAAAATTTGAAATAATGATTCATCCCTGATCATAATCATTAATTTGAAACCTCCCTTTTTAAAATGTAATTATCAATAATACTTATTTAGATTCAAAAGTATAATGTCATATAATTTATTTTAACTTTCCTAAGAAGACCCACATGCTTCGTTACATTTCCGACCTAAAAAGACATAAAACATTTTATCAAATTACATCCATACAATTACATATCAATCATTTTTAGTACGCACCTTGTGTTTGAAGACAAAAGACTGTTGAGCTGAACTTAAACACGTGGAATAATCCTTGAAATCTGTAAGCTGAAGAGAATCTGTCAGTTGAGGAATCACTTTCTGTAGATTTCTAACAGGAAGAACTAGTACAGTGTTATCAGTACCGCTCACATAACGCTGAAAAAATAATTGCAGCAATCCTAGAAAATGTGATAAAACACATTGAAAAGTAATACAAACAGAAGCTGACCTTATATCCCAAAGCTGTAAAAAGCTGTAACAAAAAATGTGGAGATTTCAAGTTTCAGAATGGAGTTTCGTGTCCTTGAATGAAGATTGGTTTTTCAGACTAGACCTTTTCTATTGCTATTACTTTAAACATAAATACAAAAGATGTCACAATAGGAAGCGTGTCATTGCCTCAGCACAAAAAAACTAAGACAAATGAATACTAGTTTAAAAAGCCAAATTTAAGCATACCTTAAGAGGAAGCATATCCTGCGATTGTATCGGATAAAGCCTGAGAAGATCCCCTGCCAGTCCTCCAGCTAACCCGGAGAGAGTTGGACCATGCTTAATCGGAGGAGAACAGTTTCGTAATCCAACCCACTGCTCAACCAATACAATTAACAACTTAACCGAGGAGACTTGCAAAGTTTCGCAGTAATTTCAAGTGAGCCTCCATGTCAAATTCACAACTGTGTTTGTGTGGTTGTAAAATTGTAGTTGCACTGAAAAAAAGAGACTAACGGATTTCTCCTAAAGTAATACGCATAACATTTGTACGGATAAAACACTTTTCAAGCTGGAAAAACGATAAAACCAAAGTCTTGACTGGTAATATCAAAAATAAATTGTCTCCAACAACATTTAAAAACTTCAAACGAAATAATGAAAAACGTTTAAATTTTCACTGATTAATTGGTCTTCCTTCAGATATGCGTTGCATGCGCTAAGAATGCACCGTACATTGTTGATATAAACTGTCAGATCGTACGCCAGATCTCTGTTCTCAATATTCATTAATCTTTCACACACCTCAAAGAAATCATTTTTGTTAGTTTTGTTAGTGGCATTGGGACATGCCACTCTTCTTGGAGGGTCACTTGATATTATGCCTATAATGGTTAAGGTTCCCCATGATAATCCAAATCCATAATTTTATGATAATCCAAAAATAAGTTAAATTCTTTGCCCAAAAAATTGGAAAAACGTTTACATAGGAATATATTATAAACAATATCAGAACAAACATTCAAACCAGATTTTAAAAAGTTTTAGTTATTTTGTTTGTTCTTTATTTACCTTTCCAACTTGTTTTGTTATCTTGTGTACATACATTGCCTTGTCTATCCAGGCATCTACTAGATCAGGTTGCTGGCCTACCAAAACATAGAGTAAACATGCCATACATAATAAGCCAAACAAAAAATTGTCTTTCTAACAACCAATAAGGAGTAGAAGAATCAGCATCCAAAATAAACTGATGTATGTTCCTGGTGCTGAACACATTTGCCTTTTGTATGATATCAACATCAAAGCTTTTCAGCAGAATTGTTACTCTGCAGTACTGTTTAAGATTAAAAAGATTTAAAACAGAATTGATCATACTGTAGATTGTCCAAAGACTGGATAAAGCCATTCCTATCTTCTCTCTAAGATGTTGAACAAATTGTAATAACTTATGTTCAGTTGGTGGTCTGGACTCCAGCTGATCTCCAAAAAAGTCTCTGAGTTGATTGAAGGCCCTCAGATAGTTTTCTTGGCTGCCTTTCTTGATCTGTATCAACACCTCAGAATCCGGGAAGATATTGATGAATCTAGCTTAACATCTTCCCTGCCAGTTCAACTAACACTGACAAATTCTGGATTTTTTACAAAACTTTGCGGATTTTAGAATTTTTTTTCAGTTTAAAAAGTATAAATTGGGAAGTTATATTTTAGGATTTTTACTTGGTTTGGTTTGTTTGTGGTTGAAGTTCAGGCTTTAAATCCCTCACTAATTTCAGGATTTAATGCCTTGAATTTTGGCCTCACGCAGGTTGAATTGGGTAGGGGTACCAGCAGAAATATAATGTCCTGTATTATAACACAAGGCAGTAACTGGGGAGTAGTCTTATAATACACCTGGACAAGTTACCCTTGCCCCCCTGTAAAAGGCCTAGGGTGTGGTAATCCAGTTCTTTTAGTCCTGCTTAAAGGATTGGGGATTATATCCTGCTTATGAAACTCTAGCCTAGATGGGAACCATTAAAGCCTTTGAGATTGTACTCTGCTTATGGTACTCAAGCATAGCTGGGAATGATTGAAGCCTATGATATTGTGTCTGTAGAATCTATATTTCAGCCCTGTTTAGGAAGGAACCAGGAATGAAGGATTCTGGGATCAACTAACATTGAAACTAATGAGTAGACTGGATCCACATCTTATCATTAATTCATCGAGCTGAAGAAGATATAAAGTACCTTTTATTTACTCCATTCTTAGCCTTTATTTATCCCTGTTTGATGTAGCACATATTTAACCCTGTTTGATGTAAAACATATTTAACCCTGTTTGAAAGAGAATGGTTCCAATTACAGGACCATGTGAGTGATTCTAGACAGAGTAAAATTCTAAACATGGCCAGATCTGACAACCTGAAGTTAGGAAATTGGATGAAGAACAAGTATGGAAACCTTGGAAACCAGTGGAAAACATGCCGGGTTTATAGTACAAACGGACCAGATGTCATGCTGAATGAAGTCCATGTACTGCTTGAGCGGCCAGCAAAAGCCAATGGGAGGAAGACGGCTGGATTAGTCAAATATGTGCAACAGTACCTGGAGATGGCCAACAAGTACATCCTTAAACGGTACCTAGGACAGGATGGAAGTGGGAAGCTGAAGCTGCTGAAAACGAGCACGAGATATACAAACGGTCAAATCTATGAGGTGAGGTGTATACATATCTTCATGTGTATAGCACTCTTCACTATAAGCTGCTATATCTTCGGTCAGTGCACAGCAGATTACTGCAGTACACACATAATAGCATACTTTATGAAGGTAACAGGACACAAGCTTTTGATAGATCATCAAATGCTCTGTTAAAGTTTGATTTTAACTTATTGGTATCTTTTAATCAGGAAACATACTAGAGAAGTTATGTCAAATTCAAATTATTTGATATAATAAAAGTGGGACCCATTAAGCTGAGGCAGGCAAAAAAAATCAATTTATAATTTTCAATAGTCCAACAAACATGAAACTAAGCCTTTGTGCAGTAAAATGTTTTGGTTCATAAAAAACAAAAATAAAATTGCTTAAATCCAACTCCACAATTTTGTGGGTTGCACTGTAGCTGTTAAGAGGCTATAGAACCGCTACCTGGTTCCCATTCTTTCCAGTTTACCATTGAAGCAGCATTTTCTTTGCAGTACTTGAAGCTTTCTATCAGTTCAGTCATCTAGAGTAGTTATTTTTCATTCATTCATTTATCCTTTTAACATTTCATTTACTTATTTTTACCTAAATTCTTTAATTTTTTAATTTATTCATTCTTTTTTCCCATCATTTATTCATACTTTTGTTTACCCATTTATCCATTCATGCATTTAATCATTCATATATTTTTTTATTTATTCATTTCATTTTACCCAACTCTTTATTGTAGAAACATACCTTTGGACCATGGGAATATGGAAGCCAGAACATTTGACAGATAAGATCTATATCATGCTCATCAAGTCCATCCGATGCCTCATCAGCATTCTGAAAATATAACATCTCATCTTGTTTCCTACTCTTTTTATGTTTGATATCCGGCAAAGTTTAGGGATTAAGCGTCTCAACTTTATATTTAGTGACAAAGATTGTCTAAAATCCGGGAATCCTTAAATGAAATCCATCAGTACAGCATTTCATCTCTTAAATTAATTGTAGTGCTAAGGGTTAGCCTTCAAGATGAATTTTCCTACTTAATCTTGGATTCCTAGACTCAGCCAGAGATCAAACACAAAATGTTAGCCTTCTGAATAGATTACACCTATAATATGTCATAACATACTTAAACTCATTTGACCATAAATATATCTTTTTCTATAAAAATAAGAACATATGCTGCCATTTTCATTTAGCTTCAGAAAGCTTTTTATGTCATAAATTTTGTGAATTGTATTTTTGCAATAATGGTGTTCACAATATACTCTACTGACCCGATTGGTTGGTGAGCTGTTAGATCCAGGGGAAGGAAGATTGGACTCTGACAACAGTTCTTTAACAGCCATCTCATGCGCTGGAATACCTGAAATATAGACAGTTTTTTTCCCAAGAAAGTTATTTCATAGGACTAAAATATGTTTTTCTGAGAAACTATTTTTTTTTTTTACAATTTTAGTACAATTAGTATCAGTCTACATTAATAAAGTTTAAAAATAAAAAGCCAAACTATAGTAGAGCTGGAGACACCAATTTCCTGTATGCAGTCTGATCAAAGATTTAAGAACATAAGGGATGTCCAATGAAACATGACACTAGCAAGACAACTTGAAAGTCGTCTTTGATCTTTGAATTTATTTGTGACATTTAGTCGTCAACCTATTTTAACATTCTTGAAACAATAACCACAAAATTCTTCTAGTCCTGGCATTTCCAAAATGTAGTCTGCCTTTTTTGTGCTATCCATATTAGCTGAGATATTAATAATTTTGTTTAGATTTCATTTTTAAATAAAAAGGCAGACCACATTTTGTAAATGCCAAGACCAAACTTTTAACGCTAGAATTTTACCCTTAAGATTAAGTAACAATAAAATGTCTGAAATTTTTTCAAACATCACAGACAACCGTTAAGCTGTCTTGCTACCGTCATATTTTGTGCAACACCCATTAACTGCTTGCTTCCATCACTATTCCTTTTGATGCATTACCATATTATTTTACGCTTTGTATGCAAAGAGGGCTTTTGCTGTACCCAAAGGAATCTTGCATCCTGTGTATTTTCATTTTCACCTGAAGGATCCCAATCGGGATTATTAATCCATTCTGCCAAGGTAACAAAAGCAGGAGTGTTGAGGGAGTATTCGCAGTTAGGATTAGTCATACATCCATTCAGATAGTCCTTAGGGGGAACTGTTCTATCCCTTCCTATTAGAGGAAACTATTAGTCATACATCCGGTCAGGTAGACTGGCTTAGTAGCACTGTATTAGAGGAAATTATTAGTAAAAATCCATCCAAATAGCTCTTAATGACACTGTCCTGTCTCTTCCTATCTATCTATCTATTATGACATCCCAATAACACGAATGTTACCAGGAAACCACCCCTCCCTGAAACCCTCAGCCTCGCTGAGGAGTACGTGGGTCACAGAGGAAACAATTAGTCAAAAACCCATCCACTGACTCTGTTCTGTCTCTTCCTGTTAGAGGAAACTATCAGTCATAGATCCTTTCAGATAGTCCTTAGGGGCACTGTTCTGTCTCTTCCTATTAGATGAAACTATCAGACATTGATCCTTTCACATAGTCCTTAGAGGCACTGTTCTGTCTCTTCCTGTTAGAGGAAACTATCAGTTATAGATCCTTTCAGATAGTCCTTAGGGGCACTGTTCTGTCTCTTCCTATTCGATAAAACAATCTGTCAAAAGTCCATTCAAATAGTCCTTATGTGATAGTAGACACAATTTTGCAGGGTTGCCTTCTCTGCTCAAACGTTTGCAAGCAGTTCTTGAACTCAAATCTTCATACCTGTATAAGGCCCTAGGTAAAGTTTCTGCAAGTCATAATCATTAGCATGCAGGTTATCCCACAGAACAGGCTTCCGCTTTATCAACTTTAAACCAAACCAAATAATTATTGGTTTTTAACTTATAATAAACCTAGCAATAAGCACAATAACTTGCAACTAAAAATTATTTCCTGTTTTAAACTTTTTACCAAAAATGTCCATTTAAATTTTAGAAAATAATTCAAGTAAAAATATATATATATATATGGAAAATATTGATGGGTTGAGTTTCCTGTTGAAGCTGTTGTATTTCGTGAACGGAAATAGTTTCAGATACAACCTTACTTCCAGTCCAGAATACCTGCACACACAAACTTGGACAATTCAACACTTGGAAGTAAAATTCAAAATGAGGTAATGAGGCTGTAAAATAAGAAAGTGAACTTTTAAATAAAGTAACGGGCTGTTCCTAAACTTTTAAATAGTAAAAATAAAAACTATAGAAATGGAAAACAAAAACTATATCGAATGATAGTTAATAAATTTAATTGTAAATTATAAAATACTAGCCTTATAGGGCGCTTCGCGCCGATCTTCTAAATTAATTGTGAACATGTTCTCTTTGTGTACATCGTAAAACAAAACAAAAATAATTCGCGGATTTTCATAAAAAAGTCCGCGGATTTTCACAAAAAAGTCCGTGGATTTTCAAAATTTTCAAAAATTTAATGAATTGAAGATCGAATTTTGATGGAGACAAATATTTGAAATTTTGATCATTCAATTTTTAATTTTTGTCTCCATCAAAATTCGATCTTCATTAAATTTTTTAAAATTTTGAAAATCCACGAAATTTTTTGTGAAAATCCAAGAATTATTTTTGTTTTGTTTTACGATGTACACAAAGAGAACATGTTCACAATTAATTTAGAAGATGGGCGCGAAGCGCCCTCTAATGCTAGTTTATATAAGTTATTTAGATAAGTTATCTGTGTAAAGTAAAGAAAAAAATGACAAAAGGATAATTATGGCTTAAAGAAAATGTGAAATGCTACATACGTAGGCTGGCAAGATCTATGTTTCATAAAACGTGCTGGATCAACTTTACACTGAGCAGTCTAGACTGATCGGCATTAGTGAATGCATACATACATGGTTGTTAACCATTAATATTAAGACCTCCGCAAAATGTCGTCTTCAACTTGAATCTCCTCTCGGAGAAAGCCAAACCAAATTTTCAGCCCGCAATTCCCTTTGTACTCCGTCCTACGGAGCTTAAAATATTTTCGTTATTGTGAAATCATTAAAGTTAAGCAAGAATATTTTCATAAGAAGCATCAGTGAATTTTGTTAAATATTCAAATGTAATTTTTCAGGAGTTTAAAAACGTATTTCAATACTGATCAACAATAAGTCTCCCCCTATCACAACCTAATAAATCGTAAGATTTTCTATCATTAATATTCATTACAACATTGTTCAAATAACCATGACCTATAATTTATGTTATTTTTTTAGGAAATAAAGCTTTTGTTATCGATTTCTTGAGACGGGGTTACTCTGTTGTGTGTATTTGCGGCCGAACGGAAAGGAATTATCTGGACTGAATTTAGTTTCCTCCCCGAAGTTCCGACGGGCCTTTTTTGATCCAAATTCATCTAGCGTGTTGCTGTTATCTGTCAACATTTACATTTATTCCCCCTGGCGGATATACAAGACAACCTCGAGATGAATCCAACTACTCCTCTCCATGAGGATCCTCTCAACGACCTTCCTCCTGAAACCCCTCATCAGGAAGCTCAAAGATGTACAAGAAACAATCCCTGCAGAATGCAAGGATGCATGATATGCCCTACACCTACCAACCATGTCCGCAACCTAGACGAGGAACTGAACATCGACGAATTCAACTCAACCCCCCCAACCCCTGCCGACCTCCCTCAACCCCCTCCAGATCACCTCATCTCGATGCTTACCCTCAGGCTCCACACAGTAATCCAACAAAACAACGTTGGACTCATGAAAAGCACCATCAAACTGCTAGAGAAATCAATGGAGTCAAACTTTGACTTTGTTCTGTACGACTGCTCCGCCTTCGACACCGCCTGGAAGACCGCCTCATTCATTCTAGACACCCACACCTCCATGTCCTCCGTCATATCTGACCCCCCCCCCTTCCTCTCAACAACCTCATGCCAGTTTCAAGCCCCCTAAGCTTGACACACCAACCTTGAGCGGCAAACCTGGGGATTTCTACCCCTGGTTGTCAACCATCCTGAACGGGTTCAACTTGACCCAAGCTGCAGATGTTGTCAAAGTTGCTCTTATCCTCCAAGCCATCCCTCTTGCCAAACGAGGACCCTTTAACAACATTACTGACTGGACCACTTTCAAGACCAAGCTAATTGAAGAGTTCGGAAGTATTGATATCTTCGGAAGAGACGTCAATCAAGTGTTCAACCTCCTTCCCTGCTACGAATCGGTCCAGGAGGTCGCCGAGGACCTCTCCCATAAGATTAAAACTCTGCAGGCCAACCTGGAAATCATGCAAAATTTCCATGACAAGGAAGACCTTCATAGTGTTGCCCTCACTCAACCTCTAGTGCAGAACATCATGAAGAGCCTGCCTCTAGAAGTGAGACCATCCTTCAAAGATCAATTCTCCAAATTCCGTGACCAGTGTCCAGCCAATGTCCGACCTCCGGCCACCTTCTTGTTCCTAGCTAATTTTGTGGAAAAATTAGAAAAGAATTATTGATCCACCCCTTATCTTTA